TCTCTAGGAGAATGCCATGGGAGACGGTGATAAATGAGGTTCATCTTGGTGGACGAGGGGAGAGCAGTCATTGTTTTTTATCTTGACTTTAGCAAGGTTTTTGACACTATCAAAATGAATGAAGATAGATGGACAGAGAGGTGGATTCAAAATGGACTGAAGTGCCAGGCTTAAAGTGTTGTGATCAGCAGCGTGAAGTCCAGCTGGAGGTCTGTCACTAATGGTGTACCCCAGGCGTCAATACTTGGGCCAATACTGTTTGACATCATTAATGACTTGGATAATGGGACAGAGTACTCTGTCAGCAAGTTTGCAGATGACAGAAAAGTAGAAGGAGTGGTTGATACACCAGATGGTTGTACTGCCATTCAGAGGAACCTCGACAGGCTGGAGAAGTGTGTTGGCAGGCATTTCATGAAGCGTGACAAAGGGAAATGCAAAGTCAAGTGCCACAGGAGGAATAACCCTATGCAGCACTGCAGGCTGGGGGCCAACCAGCTGGAAGGCAGTGTTCTAGCAAAGGATCTGGGGGTCCTGGTGGACACCGAGTTGAACATGAACCCACTGTGTGTGCCCTTGCAGCAAAGAAAGCCTCTTGGGCTGCATTAGGAAAAGCATTGCCAGCAGGTTGAGGGAGGTGACTCTTGCCCTCTACTCAGTACTGGTGAGACAGATCTGCAGTGCTCTGTCCAGTCCTGGTCTCCCTGGGACAAGTGAGACATGGACGTACTGGAGCAGGTCCAGCCAAGGGCCACAACGATGATTAAGGGCTTGGAGCATCTGATATACAAGGAGAGGCTGAGAGAGCTGGAACTGTTCAGTCTGGAGAAGAGAAGGCTCAGGTGGGATCTTATCAGTGTGTATAAAAAACTGATAGGAGGCAGTAAAGAGGACAGAGCCAGGCTCTTCTCAATGATATCCAGTAACAGGACAAAACGAAATAAGCACGAATTGAAATACAGGAAATTCCATTTAAACATAAGAAAAAACTTTTCACTGTGAGGGTAGTCAAACACTGGAATAGGTGGCTCCTAGAGTTTGTGGAGTCTCCATTGTTGGAGATAGATACTAAAAACCCAGCTGGACATGGCCCTGAGCATACTGCTCTAGTTGACCCTGCTCTGAGCATGTGGCTGGAGTAGACGATCTCCAGAGGTGCCCTCCAACCTCAGCAGTTCTGTAAAAACTTGAAGTGGGCCATGGTCATCCAGCTACATCCATGCTGGCTCCCAGGTTTAGGTTATGCTTATTTCAGGTCATGTTCACAAACAAACCTTTCTTCATCAGTGAAGGAAAGAAACAGTAGCCCAAATTATCATGGGATCTTCTTACCTCAGTCTTTTGCTCCACGAAAGAGCTGAAAGGGGAGAAGCATTTCTTAGAGAGGGTTTATGCCTTTGATGCAACAGGAAATTCCAGAGAAAACCACCACCTAGCAGGAAGGAAAAGATGTTGAGTAATTACATAGGAACGAAGTCTTGTCAATGGAGCAGAACTAAATGTGCCAGAAGCAGAAGGAAGGAGAAAGAGTTTTGCAGAAGGGGATTTAGGAAGTGACAGTGACATTCCAGATACACTGGACTGTAAGCAGCTGGTGCCAAAATGAAAGATTGCATTACTTACAAGGCTCTGTCTTTCCATAAATCAGTAGTCAAATACTGTGTTGAATTCTGGTCATCGTATTTCAGAAAGGATTGAGACAGGTAGCAAAAATGATTAAGGGCTTCAAAAATATTCTCATACAAAAGATTAAAATTGTTTACCTCAAGGAGTCTAATGTAAAGGGATATAATGAGTTATAACTCCTAGCCCTCTGGATTCCAGTGGACATATTAGTACTTAACTATCTAACACTTTTCAGAACATATCAAAGCACTTTCAAAGGAGATCCACATCATTACCCCAACTGTACATGGAATGGGATATACAAGATAAGTTGCATGTAGTGTCACCCAAAAAATCAGTTGCAGAGATGGGATTAGAAACAGGTTCGTTGACTTCCAGAAGAGCATGGTAACCACTCAGCCATCCTTCCTTGGGATAAAAACAAGGAAAAAGAAACAAGTTTGAGTGCAGGATCTTCTGTCTGTAACAAAATAACAATCAGTGAAATTGAAACATATCAAATTCAAGGTGAACTGAAAGATTTATTTGATACCTGATGTACTTAGCCTTCAAAACTAACTCCAGTTAGATGTTGATGATGCCAAGAGCTCAACAGGATTCAAAGTATGTGTGTGGAAAATATTTGTATCTATTGTAGTAAATGTTGCAACCATTAAGATTCTTTTAAGGGACATACACTTTCACATGTCAGGTCTTATGCCAGTTCATAACAGATTTAGGCAGATATTTTTCCAGTGGACATACCAGCACTTAACTATCATTTCAAGGCAATTTGCACAGAGTGGGAGATTATTGTCAAGGTCAGAACAGCACAACGAGACACAGTTGGTCAGATGTGGTGTGTCAGTGCCTACCTGGCTTCCAAATGAGGTGAAAGCACTAATTAAAAGTCACAGCATGAGATATATGATGTAACAGTTTTTAGTCATTCTGAACCAGGGAAGGTAATGCCTAATCTAACCTAACCTAAGCTAATAATATTTTATAAATACAAGCAAGTATAAATGAAAGACAGAGAACTGATGGAGAGATACATTTTGTTTTGTCTGCACATCTTTAGGTTTGTTGAAGTGCTTAATGAGAGCTATCTAAATATTTTACTAGGCAGCCAGTTAAACAATGATGGCTATACATTCCTATTGCAGTTACACAATGTAGTAAAAAAGCAAGGTGAGTTGTTCTGGATTTTTTGAGCTCTACTGCAATCGATCGCACTCTAAGTGAAGTGCAAAGATGTTTATTCCTGTTGTTGTTCTTTGATGGGAAGGCACAGCCATTCCTTTGACGCCATCAGGGAGCTCTACCTGCCTGGTCTCAATGGAGGCCTGGAAGTCTTCTCAAGATACCCATGTTTGTTGGTGGGCTTGGTGAGCAGAGGCAAGGTTTTAAAACATAGACACCCCATAAGCCTTCCCCATGCTTCAAATTCTCCAGTCTCCTGTTTCGGAGAGAAATATAAGAAACAACTGTATGTGTCTTTCTGCATATCTAACCCTTCTTCCCCACTTGAACATGCGGTCTTTGTATTTCAGCTTCATGCTGTATCATGTGTTTGTCTCGTGGATACAGACAGGTCCCAGGATTGCTGTCCCCTTTACCAAAAGAAACCATCTTTGCCTTAGGAAATCAGTGCTCTGTATTTTTTCTCTGCTTATTTCTCATAATGCTTTTAAATATAAACATGGTTTTTTATAATTTCTTTTTTTATGTAATTTCAGAGAAAAAATTATCTCTATACTCTTTTTTCCAATGTGTCCTTCGAAGTTAAGAGCATGCCATATAAAGTGCAACCAGCAAAGCTCCCTGAGGGAAGCATAGCAGTAAGTAACTGAAAATTATATCTTTGTGTGAAGCACATGTATTTGGTCATTCTGATCACAGAATGTGATCTGTGAAAGTTTTTATAGATTAAAATATTGAGATCAGTCTTTTCTGTGTTTCTAGTGTAAATTCCTCAAATAATACCTAAAAGAAATACTTTTATTGCTTTCTGTGAAAGTTGCTGATACGTGATACTAACTCCATTTTTAAATAATTTCTTGCTGCATTAATGTACAGGCTGCTTTATTGCAATCAGGATGGATTTTTGACCCGGAAGAAAACAACAAAATTGTGAAAGCAAGTGTCTAATTACCTTGTTTGGATAAAAAAAAACTGGAGGAAATTTTTGTGCAAAATCCAAAATCTTGCTTCTGTCAGGTTTAGAGATCTCACTCTTCCCCCAGTCAGCAGTTCTCTCACACAAGCTTATGGATGATGTATGGCAACTTCTCTCTTATGTGTATTAAGCGTCTTTGATACCCTGATTTTCAGAAAGGTCTGCATGCCTCTCTAGGGTTTCCACCTCACAGCACGTCAGGTGGAAGATACGAAATTACCTGGAAATCCCTACAGATGTGATAGATAGATACTAAAGTACTTGCCTTATTTGCAGAGCGAGATTTGTATGGCCCTGTATTATTATATGAAAAATTAATCCTGGAGGCGTAAGTTTGATTTTGCTGGTGCCAAAGCATTGAGTTTGGGGAGCAATTTAAAGGAATTTGCTTCTTACGGTGTCTAATGTCATGGTTAAAATTCACTCTATCTTGTCAGGACTGATGGAAATAAGTAAAATATGAGTGCAAAATTTGATTCCAGTATAAGAGTAATCTGAAATGTGAAGGCTTATGGTTCTCATCTTTATAAAGATTTATCATTTACAGTCCTTCTTTTAAAAGGTAAGCTCAGTAGAAACTTTTCCCAGTTAAATCCTGGTGCAAATACATCATATCAGTCTGTTGAGATGTAGTAGTAGGGAACAGAATACTTTCTTATATGGAAAACCAACATAATAAAACACTTTACAGCTTACATTGAATATATTTTAGAGGATACAGGCTATAAAGTTTTGTTTCGAACAAGCACAGATTGAGTAGTTATTGATACTTGCTCTGGGAAGACACAAGGTGAAATCTTGGTCCTATATGCTCAGTGACTCCAACCTCTAACATCAGGAGAACCACGATTTCACCAGAGAGATTTGATGCTTAATGCAGTATTCATCCAGAAAGGTTCAAAGGCTCCAAGCTGACAGATACACTCAGGCTCTTTTTATTTTCTTGCAGCATGTGTTCCATACCAGAAACACATGTTGTGCAGAACTCTGTTGATAGTGGTACCTTCATCTGGACTGAAGTGCTTTACCCCAGGTGATAGCCTGCTGTTCTCAGCAAGTGTCAGATGATCTACCAAATGATCAGATAAGCATTTTATTCTCTTACTCCAGCCAGTATAATGCTTGTTATTTGCTGCAGATGATTTACAGCAAAATGCCTGTAATGGCAACTGTAAAATGTTGAAAAATGATAGCGCTTTTATGTTGTTTCATATCTGGACATGGCAGTGGACGCTTGCCAGCTCTACAGCTTGATGTGTTATATGCACAAGCTCTTTTGATGTTCCACTTGCAAGAAAAAATATTTGCTTGAAGTTGGGCAATGCTTAATATTTTTGCTCCTTCTGAAAAAGATCACTGGTTGTGTTTTAAAAGTTTCCAAAGATTTATTTGGAAGTTTATGGTTTTCTTTCAGGCAATGCAAGGGTGGAAGTGGAATAAAGATTTTAGTATTTTAAAATTAATTGTCAAAAGTATATATTTAATAATCAGCTAACACCTTACAGTTTATATAGTGAAGAGAATATATTCTAAAAGAACAGAGCATATGTCCTTCTTTTAACTCATACAGCACTGGGTTCCAATTTTGCAGGCTGATATGTATATTTAATTTCAATGGTATAAATAATCCTGTACACATCGGTAACCTACACAGTCATATATGTATATGCTTACATATTTGCAGCACTGAGGTCTTTATTTCCATCATCATGGAATATAGGTCTATATCTTGAACAGAGGGCCATTAGACATAGATGTGTGAAAGGTTATGTAAATGTAAGAAAATCTAAATCTTTTATAGTAAAACATCAGAGTGAAAATGGCATCAAACAGGAAATTAGCTTGGAACTTAGTGGAGCTTAAACCAAAATCCACGGAAATTAATAAAAGTATTTCTACTGATTTTGATAGGCTTGGAATTACAACTGTGTATTGTACAACTGGTTGGATTTCCTTGCTAACAGCTGTATCATTCAAGAGAAAATGGTCATTTTTTCTTAGAGGTATTATTATGGCAAGTAATACTATCCTACTTGATAAATTTCATGTGCAAGGTGAAATAATACTTTTTATTACAGAAAGTATAGAGTTACAATAAGCAGTAATTTGTTCCATTTTAATTTATGATTCTTGAGCCAGTTTTGGAGTTTAATAAAATATGATTACTTTTCTTAAATGCTTGATGGGATCTTCAGAGGGGATGCCTTTAGTATATAAACTGTTTGACCAGTGTCCTACAGTGAGTAAAACTGATTTCAGACGAAGGCTTTTAACTCTTTTTTAGCTATTACACGGTGATGAGTACTTTCATTTTAAATGTGCTTATATTCCTTATGAAATACATTTGCATAAACATTTGTAAAGTGTAAACATAAATGACAATATTAATTGTGACTCCAAGCTCAAGGGAGCTTTTACATTCTATTTTGAGCATTTTTTCAGAACATACAAGAACATCATGCTGCAAAAGTTGGATGGGAACATGCAGGAGTACTAAAGAGTTCCTGTTTCTCAGTTTCCGTAAGCAAAATGAGTAAAGATTAGAGGAAGGTCATCATGGGCAGTAAAAGGGGTAGCATTAGAATAATAATTAATGTAGCTAATTTAGCTACTGTTTCTTAAAGTAGCAGATTAAAAAATGGAGAAGTTAATTTTACTTTTTTAAGTGTGTCTTTTAAAGGACTAGAGGGAAAAAATGCCTTTGTGAAAATCTCATTAGCAGGCACTGCATTCTGACCATTGATGCTGGATGGTTGCACTGGTAAAACCTAATTCCCATCTATCTGATGAACCGGCAGCTTACCACACACACTTCTCTTTGCATTGTGCTGCCTTCCAGTGGAATCAAAGACAATTTTGAAGCTACATTGAGCAGCACCAAAATCAGGAGCAAAATCCAAACTGTACAAAAATCAGTGGCAAAAACCCTAATATTTCTTTTCTTTACTTACAATTTGCTTAACTGTGGCACACTAAAAAAAAGGAAAATGAAATCCCCGCTATAGAATTACTTTCATGAGCAACAAGTGACTTTCATGGAACCACAACAGTGATTCTGAAGTTAAGACTATCAGACAGCGTCCGTGCTAAGACAAACTTGGATTTTATTTCCAACAGCAGACAAAGGCTCTGTCTGTAACTCTCAAGTTGGCTCCATCCTCATCTCCATGCTTGAGCCAGATGGCATTCCTTGTCATCCCTTTGCATGCAAAAGGTGTGAGATGTTCAGCAGTGTGAAAGGCCAAAAGTCAGATGGCTCCTCTCAAGTCTGTGAGGTGTCCTCTTCACCAGCCTGACAGAGAAACAACCACTGTTTTCAGTGTTCAGTATAAGAAAGTCTTCTAGCCCTGAACGGAGAGGAAAGCCAACATGCATCTAAAGTAGAGTGCCAACATGCAACACTAGTGAAAAAATTCCACTTCTTTATATTGGCCACCTCAGATGAAAACAGATAAATCCCTCCCAAAATGTTCCCTGGCTCTGATCCTGCAGTACTAAACCTACCACATGGAGAAAAACAGAAATCCAAGCTGAATAATGCAAACTTGTCTTAAATCAAAATCATACGTAAAACTCTTGTGGACAGCATGGGGTAGAGGAGGGACAGTCTTCTGTGGATATGGTGAAACGAGGCAGGCAAAACTGAAAGGATGCTTTGTTTCCTTCTTCCCCTCCAGCTTCTGCCTCAACTCTGTGGGTGTTCAGATCTTGCAGTGTCAAACTGTTCACCAGGAATTGCATTAGTAGCCCTGCAAGTCTTTGTATAGAGTATAAAGGGAGGCAGCCGAGGGGTGTTATATTCTACTGGTAATGCACACAGGCAGGAGTGAGACTGATGACTACATATAATCCTCTGCTTAGGAAATAAATCTCAAGCACTTAGCACAACCCTTCCCTTGGCTTCAAAAACCTAAGACAAAGAGGATTCATGGGAAAAGGGTGTGGGTGCGACAAGATGGTTTTAAGATTTTAGCAGGCAAATATTTCATTAGTCATTGGCCTCACTCCTGCTACAAGAGAAGAGAGATGCAGCAGTTTTGCAGCAGCATTCTGCTTGATACAGGATAGACCTAATTTCTGCTGTTTTACTCACTGCTGATAATCTAAGGATTATAAACATGATGGTCTGCACTTCTGTAAGATTACAGTTTCTTGGTTATATTTCAACATTTGTCAGGCTCCAGCTGAGCTACTGAAATTACACTGTAAATTGCACTCTACTGTCTGTAAAGGCAGAACGACAGAAGGAAGAAGGGAGAGAGGATTATGAACTCATGCAGTACAAGCAAGGCTGAGCACTGCTACACTACTCATAATTGGTTACAGTGTGTCCTCAGGAAAACCCAGATGCCCTTATCTGGATCCATGCTGATAGGTGCTCTATAGCTATCACAAGAAGAGCTAGGTTGCTTTATTGTTTTCAAAGCCTAAGAGGAAAGAAAACACAACACGCAAGTGCAACAAACATCTAGGAAGTGGTACATAAAAGAAGACATGAAATAGCTACATAGGTACTTGTAGTTGCATACACTACTATCAGCTTTACCCAAAGCCTAATGAAACCCACCATCCCTAATGAAACCGACTGTTTCCACTGATGTCAACAGGATCTCAAACATGCTTTGAGTCTGGATTCACCCCACCTAATTTTGAATGGTGAACTGAAGCACATTAGTTAAGAGTCTAGTTGCTGCGCTCCTGTGCAACCAGTAGGCAGCCCTATGAGTTATTCAGATCCTCAATAACACCAGGCAGCAGCTTAGGAGGCTGGGGAAAGCAATGGTGGCATAGTTGATCACTTGATCACACCAGCAAGATATCTGTTGGGACCCAGGGGTGGGATTTCTTGGGTTTTTTTACTAATTCTGTTTGCCTTGAACTAATTTTTTTCTTGCTTTAATTGGCTAACATATTTATTCTTTGTATATGGTATCTTTTTGAAGTCTCGTAGAGTAATAACTATTTACAGCTGCACTAGAGAAGTATATTAGCTGAATGTGTTTGTTAGATCAACGATGGTATGGCCAGCACTGCAAGCACTTAATCTTCAGGGTACAGGTCAATGTTAAAGTGCTAACCCCAGAAGGACTGGGCAGTGTCTTGGAATTTTCTGTGAAACTCTCAGTGTAAGCTTTGGTAGAAGGCAAGTGGTATCCCACATAAAAAGTTTGTCCCTAATTTCAACTATGATCTGTGTCCCGTAACAGTGAGGGATACTGTAAAAAACATATGCATCAGTAGACCTCACCAGACTGCCATCTTTCTAAGTGCTGTGTCAGAATAGAGGACAGTTGGCTGCACAGATGAAGTAAGTGGAAAGGACTATTCCAAAGTGTCTTCCAATTAAGCGTGACGGTAGCTGGGAGACAGATCTGCTGGTGCTTGCAGAATGAAAAGTCTAAGAAAGTATGCTGATCATGAGAAAGAGTGAGAGGGGAAGGGGCTAGATGTTGCAGAAAGGCTGAAATCTGCCATCTTCAAGGAGAAAAGTGAGAGACACAGAAATCGAATTAATTTTGAACTGGTCTACAAAGTTGTGTCCAGTCTCCAAACCTAGGATGCTGTTCCATGAATGAAAAAATGAGCATTGTGCTAAATTTCAGGTGCATCAGCCAGTGAGTTAATAGCAAAAAAAAAAGTAGAAAGAGAATTTGCAATGAGTGCAGATCAGGTACAGGGCAATAGCCAAGAAACTTATTAAGAAGAGTAGATTTCCTAGCTGTACCTCGAGCACTGAAGAGGAAGATCATTTGAGAGTTTGTGTAATCAGTTTGTGTAATCAGATTTCATCTTGTCATGAAGAAAGTAACTTCCATCTGTTACATACTTATCCTGTTTAAGGGAGACTAGGAGTAAATGAGAGCGGTCCAACAGAAAACCCCAGAGAGAAATAACTTCCTAGGCTAACAATAAAGAGGAAAGTTTGACAAAATAAACTAAAACTGAAGGGACAGAATTGTGGCTGTGGAGCTAAAGAAAGCTCATTCTTTCCCACTTGCGAGCAGCAGGGAGAGACCAAATATTCAATGAGATTGACTAGGAGCCTTCCAAACAGAGTCTGAGAGCGTAGAATAAATTTGGTACAAGGTATGGAAGGGAGAGTGAGGAGGAAGTTACTTGTGTGGATGGTCCCAGAAGGAGAAATACAGAAGGGTTATTATTACTCCTTGTCAAGATGAAGGTCTAAAGAGAGAAGTTTGCCAGTCAATTAAAACCTTTGATAACTCATATTATACACACCTGCTGCTTTCTAGAGCCTCAGACAATGAGAGAGTGTGTTTCATGCTTATTTCCCATTTAGGTAACAGTCCGTATGCTTGGCTTCTTTTAAGGAGCGTAACAACATACTGTGTGTTAGGCTTTATCACAAGGACAATGCACTCTGCTTGAGTTTAATTTTTGGACTGCTTAGCTGAAACACAAGTCATAGGAAAAAATGTATACTGGTGTGTCAGCAGAAATTAAAATAAGAATAATGTAGCTGGTATCTATTGTGGTTTGAATTAAGAGTTTGGGCTGAAGTCAACCATTGTTTCAGAGTAATTCAGCGTAAGTCAGTTATACTGGCCGAGGCTGTACCAGCATACATGTGAGTAGAACTTTGCTCCTTGAATCTTCTTGAAGCATCTGCACAGAAGGGTATTTTTTGCTACTCTGTATTACGTGAAAATTATTTGTATGTCTTGTATGACAAGACTTTTGTATATGTGTGAATCCCATTTCTAGTAATTATCATGAACAAGTGGAAAGGAACTTGCAGTAAATGAACCCAACATGGGACAATTCCAAGCAATGTGTATTTCTAATCTGCAAAATGCTATTGAAGTGAATGCTTATAACTTCTGTATTCTACTGTCAGATTTGCTTTACTTGTTTAATTTTTGTTCATTTAATGTATTCTTTTCATTTCAGATCAGAACATCTGTCATTTGGTCCACTCCAAATGTCTCCTTTGTAATCCCTTTATGGGTTATAATACTAGCAATACTTCTTGGACTGTTGGTACTAGCTATGTTGACCCTAGCTTTATGGAAGGTATGTTGCATTATTACTGTTACTGTTGCCTTTTAAAAAACCCTGAAGGATACTGGAAGATACTAACAGATAAGAAAAAGAGAGACTGGAATTTTGTGTTTTCAGTTTGGAGCAAAAGCAACAATACACATGTGTCTTTTTTGTTTTGGCATTTCTGACATGCTAGTGTCACTGACCTTTATGCAGGGAACTTGTTTTCAAAGTCCTCCTTTATTATTAAAGTCTGGTTATAAATGGGCATACAGAGTTTGGCTCTGTTTCCCAAGACCTATGATCCTCTTTTTCAGGATGTTTAGGTTCAAAAAGAAGTGACTCTAGCTTTGTTTTTCCCTGAATACTTCAGGAATTGCCAGTTTTTGTCAGCGTGGAAGTTTTGAGAATTAATTTTTAGAAGATTTCCTTTTATATTAGTATGTCATAGCTTCTTTTTTTAAAGTTTTCTAGTTCTGTGTTGGTCGTTACATTCCCTTCACAAGTTTTAAGACAAGTTACTGGAAACTGCTATATTACAGGGAGCCAACATTCCCATTAAAAAACAATTAAAATAATTTCTTAAGTTAGGATATGACTTATCTGCCTTTAGCTGCCTAAAGGTTATGGGTTAGGTGTCCAGCCTATGCTAACTTTCCAGATTCGTCTTGCCAGTTAACAACAACAGCAAAAAGCTATGTCTAAAACATGGGAGGAATTACCTTTTGGTGGTACTCTCCTTTGACCTCTTGTGAAGTCTACATAACTTTCAACCTTTTGACGAAAAAGGTAACTTTTAGGCAGTTACAAGTTAGGTGAGAGGAATCTCATCTTTAGTGATCTTTAGTCTAGGACAGAACACTGTCCTGTGCACATTTCCCGACACATATTCCACCTTTGTTATTATTACTATCTGTCAATCTAAATATCTTTTCTGAATGTCTTGCTGAACTGAAATTAGCAGTTTTCTCATTAGAGTCAGTCAATATCAGCATTCAGACCAACTTTACATCTCCTGCAAAGACAGCTTTCATTTTAATTTTTAAAGCTATACTTTGGAACTCAATGCCTTGCACCTACATCTTTAATTTTTCATAGGGAACAATTTGAATAGAAACAAAAAAGCTTCATGGTCTATCAGCCTGCCATAGATTGTACCCAACCTTTCAGGTTGACTCAGTGAAGAAGCAAACTGCAGCTGAGACTTCCTGTCGTTGTCTTACCATGATGCCTTTGTTCATGTTGATTGTTTTCTGCAGTGTGGCTTCTTTGACAGAGCTAGACCTCCTCAAGATGACATGGCTGACAGGGAACAACTGACAAATAAAAAGACTACTGATGCATAGAGGAAGAGAGTGACAGTTCAAGTCAGAATTCTGCCCGAGACTAGAAACACGATGAGGATTAAATGAAGGATTCCTTCCACCAGCCTTCCTTTGTACCTGCAAGTGACATGGTGGTGTAATCTGATCTATGCAATGTTCTGAGAACATGCCACATGATGGCCATCCTTGCCAAAGAAAGCAGCTTATCACTGCCTTACAAACATATTCACCACTGAACAGAATGTTTATGCCATATTCCAGTCAGTCTACATTTCAGCAGATGCTTTTGAACACGTGTGGTATACCGAGATGCTTCCAGAACAAGCCCTAATCTCCCAAGGAGAGAATGCCCATGTTGCTGTATTGTCTAGAAGATGGACCAGGACAAAACTTCTGAACGCTACTGTATCATGCAGGATACCTTTGACACCTCCCTAAGAATAAGAACTTTTATGAATTTATGGCTCAGGGAGACAAGCAATATATCAGTACTGTGAAAGTACTTCTGAAAAACAAAGGTAGTCTATAAAGAACTTTATAGATGGGGCACAATTATTTATTTTTCCACCTTTTCAGGATAAGTATCTGATATAATCATCAACTTAGATTTTGAGAGAAGTAAAAAAAATAGAAATCATGTACTTACCTTGCATGTAAATAGAAAAGTAAACCCATTGTACACACAGAACACATCTTTCTTGGCTACAAGGTGTTTTGCAAAGCAGAAGATTTATGCAACGCTTCACAAGATAAGACATGTGATAAACAAGTATCTCTTTCAACCCAGAGCTGGCAGTGTCACATCCCGATAACTAAATCCATGCACAGTATAGAGCAGGGGATGAGTTACCCTCTCATTGCATTGCTAATGGCTGACATCTGTACAGCTGACACAGGATACAGCCATTTGTGAAACATTGATTTAAATTACCACAGCCACACTGGTGATATTGAGAAGGCTTGGGGGTTTTGGGCTGGGAAAATTTGCTTTTCCATTGCCCTGTTACTTTGTTGAAATGGCCTCTGAAAATGGAATGGCTACTGCCATTGCATCTTCTGTTTAATTTGTGTCATAGACCCTAACACTTTGTTCACCTAAAGAAATCTTTGCCTTTTTTAAAATTTATTTTATAGATTACAAGCTGGCAGCATATTTAAAGTGTTGAGTTCAGCAAAGTTTAGGGCTGAATATAATTATTTCTTAAGCAAAGTCATACAGGGAAGATGGGCAGGATTTGTATTTATGCAGAAAAATAGGATGCCAGCCAGCAAAGCATGAACAAAAAGAAGGAAAGATATTTTGACGTAAAGAGTAAAAATATACATTTAGGATTTTTTTTTTTCTGGATTGAGGATTCTGAAGAGGAGAAGCTTCATTCTTTCTCTTCTATCAGCAAATGGTCCTTATCTCAGTAGGGGCTCAAGCGCTGATAGGTGGAAATTTGTGCCTGAAAGCTTGAGTCTTCCAGTGCTGCCTGTGAGTATGAAATTAGCTATATTGTGTAAACTTCAGGAGGGATTGTTCATTTTCTGAAACATACACCACACTTTCCTTCTCCTGAGCTCCTTTTCTTTCCAACCTATCTCAGCTTCTTAATCAGCAAATGGCCTCATCCATTCTGATGCTGATTGGCTCCTTCTAGGTAACTGCCCTTCTGCTTCCTAAGACTTCAGGAAAGGAATAGCCATGAGACATTGTCACTTCTGTCAGTCTGACAGGAGATTTTACAGTTTTACCATTTCTTGCACACAGGCTGACCTGTGAAATGCAAGCAGGAGCTAGGAAACCTGAGCAGGTTATATTCCATCTTCATATCTAAGGCAAATTTGCAAGAAGACTTTTATGGAGTCTTTAGCTTATCAGATGCAGTGTGCCCATGAGACTTAATGAGAGGAGGAGACACATGCCTCAGAAAATGGAGTTGCTTCACCTCCGTTTTCTGAGGACGGGGAGGCCTGACCACTTCCCGGTCCCTCAGAAAACCGCTAACAGACCCCTTCCCCCGAATGAGTTTGAGCTGACCCCTTGTAGATTAGAGAGATCAGCTGATAAATACCACCACAAAGCAAGCCTGTCCCATATTTGCACACCTCTGTATCCCATACATTCCAGGCAAAATCATCCTCCCATGAAAAAGACAGTGAGCTTCTAGCTTTTGTAAATATTGAATTGTTGTGTGTAGCAGCTTGTGAAATAAGATCAGCTAGCTCATTACCGTCACATCATCTGCACAACTCTTACTCTGATGAAATAGCACCATAAGGAGATATGGAACATAGGACTTTTTGTATGTGCAATACTTTATATTACTTATATACCTGAAGCATGTTTACACTGGCATTTGTGGTTGTTTTTTAAACTTTTTAATATACTGATTCATGAATACAATAAAGAAAAAAAAGAATAGGAAAAAAACCTGAAAACAAACACAGCTCTGTTCAGTATTTGTTGCAATGTGTTTTCAATCCTATATTGCTCTGAGGATGGGACTAGGTGACCTAATAAGTTCTTTGCAGTTGTAACATCTATGGTTCACTTTTGAGCAATTACTCTCCATTTTAATGATGGGCAAAACATGTTCAGATACTAAATTTAAACCAAAAAGAACCTCAGTGACTGCTGGGCCTGGCTGGAATCCATTGGCTGCAGCTGTGTAATGTCACTGGAAACCAAATTAGAGGCACATGATCTGACAAACAGTTACTTTGAGCAAAACTTTGTTTTGTATTTCTACATCTTTGTAGATTAAACTTCCCCCGTGGAAATGTCTGGAGCCGTGTGCTGTCAAGGACTGTAGTCTTGGGTCCCAGCGTTTGTGGACAGCTTTGGCTGCAAATTGCAAACAGCTTTGCAAAGGAGATTTCTGGGATTCAGTGCTTGCCAAGAGTGTTTATCCCCCAGGGAGATTGCATCCTGGATGAGGACACTAGCAGGCAATTGACATAATCTTTCCCACCAGTATATTAGTAATGTGCTGCACGATAACCTCTGCCACATCCCTACATGACTGAACTTTTGTTTCAGTGATGTCAGCCTTGTAATGAGTTACTAAATGCAGCTTTCTGTAAAAGTAATTCAGCCTTACACTTCCAAATGTATGCAGTGAGCCGCTCATTGCCGAGAATACAGGAGTAGTCCAGAGAGCAGAAAAAACAGGAGGTTACTTTATATATTAAAACCTTTTAAAACTGTTTATTGCTATGACCACCACAGCGGTCTAGTAAACAGAGACATTCATCTTTTATTTCACATGCTTCTTGCCGAGTTTGAGAAAGGCCGTCCAATTATTTCATCCATGCAGCAGACTTTTTTTAAGAGTATCAAGTGTCAAGTGACATTTTCTGTTTTACAAAAATCTCAGAATTTATGTAACAGGGACCAGTACATTTGAATATGTTGTCAATGACGGATTTAATCTTTAAAGGTATTTAGCAAATACAATTTTCATTTAACCACCAGGTTGTTAACAGGAATTTTTTCTTGTCACCATTCTGTAACTCACAATTTTTTCTGTCTTCTCCAACTTTTTTGCCCTGACAGCTTTACAGGTTTCCCACGTTAGACATCTCTTGAAAATGGCACTGATTTTCTCTACCTTTTAGCTGTGCTTTTTTCATCCATTAGCAAGAAGGATCTTCTGGTAGGCATGGCATACATTAACTAAAAAGCCTTTTGGGAACCGACAAAACACCTAGAGATATGCAGAGGAAAGAAAGTCCCAACTGGCCATGGCCTATGGTATTCCACTACATTGTAGCAAACTTTTTTTTAATGAAATACCATCTGACACACTGCCTTTAGGAATTGTTTATGAGTGAGTGTTTTATTTATGATTGTTGGCAAAGATCCATATTAAAATGTAGTGTAATGGTAGTGCCTCTTGACAATAAAAAGTCTTGAATTTAGCTTATCCAGGCCCCATGATGTGACACAGCAAGAATGCTTTTAATATTGAAGGACCTGTTCTTGTTTTGCCTGTATGTTGTATTTGGGGGACACTTAACTATTCAAGATGCTACCCTACTGTACACAGTGATTTTTAGAAAAGAAGAATGGAGGTAATTGTTCAACTCACTTTTCAGATGGTTTCATTTGTTTTCATCATGTTGCTGTACTTAACTGATGCACCATATTTCATTTGATTGTGTATTGTTCTTTGTTTCAGTAATGGTTTGTAAAGCGGACTTCAGCAACTCTTTCCAAAACTGGACTGCGTCAGGCAGTATTGCTTTTCCAGAAGCAAGGTCTGGATAACAGCAGCAGAATTCAGGATGCTATTTGAAATGGTCAGTGCATTGCCGGGGCTAGCTTACTTTTCAGCAGTTTAGCCAAATTCATATTCAGAGTCATATTAACAAAACATCATAGAATCATAGAATCATAGA